CCCCCCCCCTCCCCCCCCGGGGGGCTTCCTGGGCTGCACCTAGCCGGCGGAGGGGGGGGGGGCTGGGTTGCGGGGGATGCACTTGTCTCTGCCCCGGGCTCGGTGTGCGGGGGTTTCGCATCTGCGGGGATCCCCGAGAAGGTTTTCTGCTGGGGGAGGGAAAAAGAATGGAGGAGGAGGAGGAAAGAAAGAAATGGAGGAGAAGCTCCAGTTATTGTCCGAAATCTACCCATCCGGAAGGTCCCTCAGATTCTCCACGCGCGTTACTCTGCAGGTTGACCTGATGCTCCTTGTTTATCGGCGCGGAGAGCGTCGCCAAGAAAAACAGGCTTTCACCATGTGAATTACGAATATTATGTTGTTATTATTATTATTATAGTATTATTGCTTTCGCTGGATGCATTTTCTGCCTGCCGTGTCTTTTTTCCCCCTCTCTTTCTCCCTTTTTCGCTTCGCTCGCATTCCTCCACTCTTTATCCTCCTTTTCCCCCTCTTTCTTTCTCTCCCCGAGGTGCAGAACTCCCCACCCCACGCCCTGGGATGCGGTAATCCCCCCTCTTCCCCTCTTCCTTATGTTGTTTTTTTTGTTATTATTTAATCCAGACGTGGTCCCCTTACAACCCGAAGTCAGCAGTTACCGGAGGGGACGGAAAAAAAGGGTCCCTTACACCAAAATCCAGCTGAAGGAGTTGGAAAAGGAGTACGCGGCCAGCAAATTCATCACCAAAGAGAAGAGGAGGAGGATTTCGGCCACCACCAACCTGTCCGAGCGCCAAGTGACTATCTGGTTCCAGAACCGGAGGGTCAAGGAGAAGAAAGTGGTGAGCAAATCCAAGACAGCACATCTCCACCCCACCTGACAGAGGATGACCTCGGAGGAGAAGGGGCGAGGAGAAGGAAGCAAGAAGCGTCAATATTTATCTGGTAGCTTGTATGATAACTTCGTCGGGACTCTGCTGATTCCAAGTCATTATTTAAAAAAAAAAACAAACAAAAAAAATTGACATTCACCAATGCACACGCGCATCCCCCCCCGCCCAAAACCCACCGAGAGCGTCTTCGATCCACCCCTCTGCCCCGCTCTGACTGTGAAAACCCCAGTTCCCCTCTGAGAAACCCGTCGAGAAGGTTCCACTGTGTATATTTTGAAGAGAATATAAGGATCA